AATGCATCAGCGTTGTCGGCACCAAAAGACCAAGGGCTGATTTGTACTCGAAGCTGATTTTACAAGCACAAGAAATTTGCACACTCCCCATCTGTAGTAAGAGATCTCTGAGATCTCTCCTCTATCCACAACAACATGACCACCCTGAGCTGGAAAAGTCCAACTCATCTAGTCGTTTACTAGCCTATTAGTTCTGGCACAATAGTCTCACGCAAATAAAACCATGTGAAAATAGCTTGGTCTTTATTCACTGTGTCTTCTGTAGGCTTAACGGTGTATAAAACAGATAAACATACATGTTTAATTGCTTTTCGAAAGTAGCTGTAATTTAGAAATAATGCGTTCTCTTAAATTTTTAAATGTAGTTACATTATAACTGAAGTTTAGTGGGAAGAACAAGCCTAAAACCCCTTCTTCTTCCAATCTAATGCCCTAATGTTCGCAATTCCCACTGCCACCCCAGTTCCTTAGTCCTACATCAGTCCTACTATAGCTAAAAGGGGGGTCTGGCCTTCTAGCTACAGGCAGAAGCTGCCCAGAACTCCCGCCCATGTTCTCAGAGTTCTCCCCCCCTCCCTCAATCAGTCCTCCCTCATACCACAACCATGTTGAAGGCATGGTCTGAACTCACAAACCCTGCTATAACGTAGCCTAACTTTTCCTAATGTGCCGACACACAGGCTGCGTCAATCTGCATAATAGTGTGTTATATAGTATATTCAAAATAAACAATGCACCATTTGTGGTGTAGTAATTAAGCACACTTTTGTATGGTATATGCAGTTTGTGACACAGCCGCAGCTACTTTTGAGATGCATGAAAAACTGTGTAAACTTTATTTTCAGTCACACTATAAGCACTTGGCTGTGCCACACTTCATCATACAGACCTTTAGCGGGAGTTTAAGAAGCATAGCAACAAGGGAGAGAAAGATCCTGCTGTCTTTTCCTTCAAATGGAGGTGCAGACAATTACGTCTCCCAGGCCACGGCCCACCTCTGCACTACTTAGAGAAAAAAGTACGTATTTTAAGCTGTCTTTAAAGGAATAGTTCATAGAAAAATCAAATTTACGCAATTCTTAACCCAGATGGGAATGTTTGGTGTCAAACTTTCGCTTCTTTAGTTTTAAACCGGAGCTACAAGACTAATGTAGCTAACAAACACTTAAGTCGATAGTCACACGAATCTTTTGACTGAATATTTCCCCAAACCATCTTTCAACTCACTCAAACCACAGACTCTTCATTGAGGTCGCTCAGACGTCTCAATGTGATTTAGAGCACAAAATGACTTACTGTGCCAAAATTCTGACTCCCCTACAGAATGCGACTCCCCCTCCACATGCATGCACATTAAACAGACCACAGTGTAGAACACTACATTACATTCTCGATTTCTGTTGTTTGTATATATAAATATATCTATTCTGCTTAAAAATCCAAGACAGTTATTTATAAGAAGAAACAAAAGAAATGGCAAACATAATCTGTAGCCTCTGTATGACTGCATGACATACGTGCACACAAATGGCAGTTGGATTTCAGCGTAACACTTGCTGTCTTAAGTGGTTACCGGCTGCATTCAGCTACACAGTGAGGTTTTGCTCATTTTTATGGTTAAAAGTAGTGGTGAACCATGACTATTAGAGCTACGCCTTCAATTCAGACAATAAATATCAAAATTCTGTCAAAAACAAGTAAAAACACCTCTATGAGAATGTTAATTTCTGCAGCACCCTCAATTGGATTTTAATATTATGTTAGCGCTAAGCTAACAGTGATTCACCTGATCATTTTTTGGCCATTCTAGGACATTTGAAGCTTGTAAAAGACATTTCATGTTTTATTTGAAGCTTTGAATAGACATATTAACAGATATATGTTGTAGCAGTTTCACAATGACTCCTTCACCCTTCGCCCTGACGCAAAACTGCCGCTGTTTTCCCCCCAACTGAAAGACTTTGGTCAGGCAGCCATTCGCAGTCAGTGACATATTCAGGACTTCTAGTAGGCCTAAAGTGACAAAATGGGTCCCACCTCATCAAAACATGCTTAGTTGATTCCACTGTCACTTTCTAGTTGAGCTTATGGTCAATCAGAAACATTAGGCCTTCAGTTCAGCCCAAACCAATGGGACACACCAAAAATCCCTTTTGTTTCCCAACCAACCCTTTTAAATCCAACAAGCAACAAAAATCTACTTACAACTTATTTTACAAATATCATTTTACCTTCTCTGAAGACTCAGAGGGTTCACAGTAAGTCATACTGTGCCGTAAACCACTTTGACAAGTCTGCGTGATTTTAATGAATACCTGGATACAGTTTGATCAAGTTGAGAGTGCATCTATTTACAAAAAAAATTTTGGTCACTATTGACTTCTAGTGTTTGTTAGCATGTTAGCATCATAGCTGCAGTTTAAACTAAATAAGCAACATTTGGACATCAAACATGTCCTGGCTGATCAACTAGAACTGGAAAACTTGTGTAAATTTGATTTTTTCACAAAAGCATTCCTTTCATGACAGAAAGAGTGGCAGTTTGTGACATGTAATAGTACATTATTAGTATTTATTGTTTGATCTGTTATATTTGTTAAGGGGAATCTTTGTAATACAGTAATACAAACTGCAGCCCACACAGATGGAGCAAAGCTAAATACACATGTCAAAATCTCCAAGATATGTACTTTAGCAAAAATGTATGCGAATAAAAAAAAGTAGTTATTTGAGGTCTAATGTAACATTGTTGTACCCCTTAGTCATCACATCATATGGAGTGCATATAAATTAACAACCAAAGGATGCGTATGAAAACATACATATACATGCCTTCCGCTTCTAGCAGGAATGATGTCCATCTGAGGCTGGACTAGGAAAGGATTTTACGTATGCCAGGCCACAGCCATAAATTTTAATTCCATATCAACAGCAAGTTTACTTCATAATGAAACCGGCCTTGTGTTGCAGCAGTCTAATGCTGGTGCAGACTATCAAGTGTGTTCATCGTGCACATTAACCATGGTCTGCTTCTCCGTTCTGATAAGAATGTCACCAAGTCTGTGCAGCAGCATAACTTCATAGGATCTTGTCTCAAAATCAAGAAAAAAAGAAAAAGGAGAGAGAAGTAACACTCGATTTATGAATGCAGATCACATAGGCTGAGTCTGCCGTTCACCAGCCCACTTCAGCAGGTGTCCAAAAAACTCCTATCCGGCACATCTCATCAAATGTCTTTTGTGTTTGTAGTGCCCCTCTGAAGCCTCTTTTTGATGATAATGATAATATAAAAATGTTTTTAGTACAAGTGAGAAAAAGAGGCACTGAATTCCTGAAGGCACTCAAGATGCTCTGGCAAAAGCCCACCAGGGTCTGGGTGCAAGACATGTGATCATAGGAGAAGCGTGTGGGTGGGAGAGGAGAGTGTGTTTCATAGCTGAAGCTATAGAGCTTCATATTGTTGTAATTTACAATTCAATATGATTTTCAGTTTGAACACTCTGAGCCTGCAGTTTGTGTGAGCACTTTCACTCAGTGCCACTCCACTTGACTCTCTCTCTCGATAGCTCTCTCACTCTCTCTCTCTCTCTCTCTCTCTCTCTCTGTTGGTCATCTCTTACTCTAGATTACTCTTTCTTTCACTTGCTCATCTGTCTCTCTCTGGGTCACTCAACTCTCTCTTTTCTAGTTCTCTCTCTCTGGGAATTTTTTTTTGCCTTTTTCTCTCTTCTTTTCTATGTTGTTCATCACTCTTTCTGGTCACCTCTCTCTTTCTTTCTTTGCTCTCCCTCTTTCCTTCTTTTGGTCATCTCTTGAGCTCTCTTGCTCTTGTTCTTGTGGTAATTATCTATGTTGTTCACATCTCTCTCTATCTCAGTTTCACACTGTGTTGGTCACCTTTCTTTCTTGCTGCCTTCTCTCTCTCTCATTGTGTCTCCTCTCTCTCTCTCTCTCTCTGTCTCTCTGTCTCCCACTCTTTCTTGGTCATCTCTTTAGCTGTTTCATTCTCTTTCTTTCTCTTAGTAATCTCTCTATCTTGTTCATCTCTCTCTCTCTCGCCTCACACTGTGTTGGTCACCTCTCTCTCTCTCTCTCTCTCTCTCTCTCCCTTTCTGTGTCTGTCTCTCTCTCTCTCTCTCTCTCTCTCTCTCTCTGAGCCTCTCACAGTGTTGGCCACCTTTCTCTCTTTCTCTCTCAGCCTCTCACTGTGTTGATCACCCCTCCCTCTCTCTCTCTCTCTCTCTCTCTCTCTCTCTCTCTCTCTCTCTCTCTCTCTCTCTCTCACTTTTACACTATGTTGGTCACCCCCCCTCTCTTTCTTTCTTTCTCACTCTCAGTGTCACGCTGTGTTGGTCACCTCTACTTCTTGCTATCTTCCTCTCTGTCTCAGCCTCTCTCTCTCTCTCTCTCTCTCTCTCTCTCTCTCTCTCTCACACACACACACACACTTTGTCATCTCTTTTGCTGTCTTGCTCTCTTTCTTTCACTAGATAATTTATCTATCTTGTTCATCTCTCTCGCTCTCTCTCTCTCTCTCTCTCTCTCTCTCTCTCTCTCTCTCTCTCTCTCTCTCTCTCTCTCTCTCTCTCTCTCTCTCTGTCTCAGCCTCACACTGTGTTGGTCACCTCTCTCTCTCTCCCTTTCTGTGTGTCTCTCTGTCTCTCTCAGCCTCTCACGGTGTTGATCACCCCTCTCTCTCTCTCGCTCTCTCTCTCTCTCTCTCTCTCTCTCTCTGAGCCTCTCACAGTGTTGGCCACCTTTCTCTCTCTCTCTCTCTCTCTCTGAGCCTCTCACAGTGTTGGCCACCTTTCTCTCTCTCTCTCTCTCTCTCTCTCTCTCTCTCTCTCCCCGCGGAGTTTGTGGCTCGTGCTGAGTGAATGAAAGCCCAGTCCGGGCTGAGCTGTAAGCTGGACTGTGCTCCTCCTTTAACCAACATATGGACTAACTTTCACTAAAGCCTCACTTCTGCACTGCACGGCACAGCTCGCGCTCCGCCGCTGCCTCTCTCCACCGCGCTCGCGCCGTTCCTGCCTTTTTGGCGGCTCGTGTGTGTGTTTTGTTTTTTTTTTCTTTCTCGATGTTCCACTTCACATGATCTCAGCACATATATGAACGAAGCACTGCGGCCACATTTGGACTTAGATCTCCCCCCGCACTTCCAGAGAGATGGACCTTGTGGGCTTTTACTTCCTTCAGCTCATCTTCTCAGGTGAGTCACTTACTTACAGGCTTCGTCTGTTTCATATGAAAAGCGCGGCTGTGACGCTGTGGAGATGAATGGAGCGCAGCTGATAAATTTGCTGTTTAGAGTAGTTGTTTATCTTCTCAGAGCAGGTGAAGTTGAGTAGCTCAGAGCTTCAGCTGGATGGAGAAGTGCAGCTCGGAATGAGAGTCAGTGACCAGACCGGCTTCGTTCAGTTCATGTGTCTAAGGCGCGCGCTGCGTGTGATGTAGTGCTGGAGTGATGTCCACCTGAGCTGGCCGAGGGGAAAAGGCTGCCCTCAGGCTACCGATACTGAACAACAAGTTTCATTAAGCTGTAACCTCGCTCCGGTTATGAAGAGCTGAAATTAAACAGCGATTTTAATCAGTCGATTAGGTGTTAAGTGCCTTAAAGCAGCGGCGAATCTGTGTGATTAGAGCTGTGATTAGAAGGTAAAGCCCTGATTGGATTACAGCTTTACAGCTTTCCATTACCAGAGGGTCACAAAAGCACTGCATGTGTTAAATCTGCGGCTAAGACTGGCTGATATATCGTCTATACCGCTATACCGTGATATTGACCTACTGCGATATTGCCTTTCTTTTTTAGTGATAGTTTTAATGATATATTTCATAGATATGACAGGCCTCTAAAATATAGCCCATAACAAAGCAGCATCCCTGTTTCCAATGGGTTTGGTTTCAGTATTTTAACTCTATTTTATGGGCTTCAATCAGCAACTGCAAATTATCACATTTGGTGGGACTGTTTTGAAAGCCCAGATGTATATATAAAAATACATAAAAATGAAATAAACAGTTAATTTACTTTCTGTAAAATGTAATATCATGCCAAACCAAGTCTTAAATCTAGTCAGTATGTCACTGCTGTCAGGACAAAACCTCATATCTCACTTTTATTCATATCATTCATATCACTTTTCATTTTTTGACCTAGTTTGAAATAGGAAGTTGCCCTTTATGTTGTGTCAAAATTACATGATGAACGGACCAACAGAAACTGTCCAAAATTACTTGGAAAAATATATTTCTCCATTTACGTCCATTAATATTTAGAAATGTTTTCCTTCTCATGTGAAGTTACCTTTTTGAAGATACAAGGTTTTGTTCCAATAGCAGCGACAGAATATGATCTAACTTATATTTAGACATTTTTAACTTGTTTTAAATATTGCTATGTAGAGAAATGGTTTTATTCTTTTGGCTTATAAATTTGCATGTTTTGAGCATTATTTCTTGAAATAATAATGTTCTGGCTCAAAACAAACTAAATTATCTGCCAATAAAATCAAACAATTTTACCAGGTAAGATGACTTAAAACAGCTTTAAAAATCCAGAAATAAGTTAAATAAACGTATTATTTAAAAAAAAATTTTAAATCTAATGCACTTTCACTAAATTTAACATATTTTACCTCAGAAGACTTCATTTTTACAGTGTAAATGTGCTTAATCTTTCCCTTTGGCCACTTTAAGAGAAGAAAATGGAACAAAATAGTTCATTGAAAACAGGCTCTACAAGACCGTCTTTTAGCAGCACCAAGAACAAAATTTCTGATTAACTTCTTTATTAATGCAAACTAAAATATCATCTTACACCATGATGCTGTGCTATAGCAGGACAGGGTCATGATACTGTGTTTTATCAGTATTGTTAAGCTCTGTCTGTAGCTGACAGCCTTAAGCAATATGCAGTTTGTGCCCTGACCTGAATGGCTGTGTGGTTTTTGAGCTGATTAGATATTTCATTTGATGAATGTTTCTGTTTGATTTGAATTAGCCTTTAAATATCATATGCTTTTGGGTCCATCGGTGTGTGAGAGAGAGAGCTTGTGTGTGTGGGGGTTCACAGTGGAAGCAGTGGAGAATGTATGTAGCCTATATATGTCCGAGCACAGTATAGTGAAGCCTCCTGAGACATTAACAATGTAACTAAAACACCATGACTATAGTACTTATATTTGAGCCCTGGCCAGAATTCAGGGCCTCTGAAAAAATACAATCAATTAGTCAATCAACAAATAAATCAATAACTATTTTACTTGGTTAATGAATTATTCATGTCTGCCATAAGAAGCTCCTTGTGGAGGGCCCTTCACTGCCTATTTCTCCAGGGGGTTTATATACAGTCATTTTGCCAACCATTTCTCCTGGAATTTTGGCTGGTGAATCATTCAGTTTGCTTTGAGGACCCAAAGGTCTGGAAAACTAAACCGTAACAATAGCTAAAGAACCGGAAGGTATGACTGAGCAATGCTTTGAAGGCTTTTTCTCAATGGAGATGTGTTTACCTTTCTTATACTGTGTTCACACAACTGGTTTTCTCACTGGTAACACCCATATGCCTAATTGTTTACTGTTCCTTCAGTGCCAGATTGAATCTCTAGAGTGGAACATAGAAAACTGAAAATGTACAAGATTCAGGATGCATTTTACCAGGTTAGGAAGTTAATGTGTACAAGACAAAAATGCATGCTACCACCAACTTCTGTTAGGGCAGTAACCAAAAGGTTTCAAAGATATGGAACAGATGCAAACATGCCAAGATGAGAACACAAGATGGTTCATTCTCATAGAGCAAGACTGTATTGGAGGCAAAGAGGAACCTAAAGACCAGAGCTCAAAATCTGAAGACATTTATGGCATTTTATTGTCACAGAGTCTCAAAATCAACCCATACATGCCAACTCTACACCTTCAGGCTCAATGGAAAGCCTAAGGCCAGAGCACACAGGTCCAGCATCCTCTAACAACTATTAACAGACCAAATTGTTTGGCTGATGTGCCTTCTACAATGTTCTCTCCCAGTTAACTGCCAGTACAGACTTAGGAAGAAGTATGTCCTTCCTGAGAGCAGCTAAACCAAGAGTCTAGAGCAGGGGTGCTCAATCCTGGTCCTGGAGACCTACCACCCTGCAGAGTTTAGCTCCAACCCTAATCTAACACACCTGATCCAGGGGCATCTGACTATATGAGCCAGGTGTGTTGGATCTGAACTCTCCAGGGTAGTAGATCTCCAGGACCAGGATTGAGTTTGTCAGGTGCCAGTTCTATGGTGAGATGAGACCACTTGACTACGTAAATGAAAGATAACCCCAAAACCACTCCAGAAAAGGCTTAGAGAAAACAAAATCAGTGTAATGCCCCTAGCCATTTTAGCCAGGGGACATGGTAATCTGTTTGGGTTCCTAAGCGCATGCATAGGGATACCAAGAGTCTGAAAGATTCTGTATGGAGGAACAGTCCAAGGTCCCTCTGTGTTCTCCAGCCTTAAACAGTGTACATACAGACTCGGTGTAATTACCCCTGCAAGAGGATGCTGCAGGAAGTACTAAACACAGCAGTGCCAATAATTGTGAAACATGTAATATATCTCAGTAATGGACTATTTGTTTTACACAAATAGTCCAGTCTTTTTTTTCCTTATTTCCATCAATAATGTAAATAATTCAGGGCCTGTGTGTATATATGCACTTCAGAATGGGTTCCTGTGATATTCTTGGCTGGTCCAGTGTCCTGTAATTGTACCCCTGAGTAATGCAGGTCTCTTAGTTATGGTGAATTCTGAGAATCTTTCAGAGCATTTTTCTTAGTGAATATCTGCTGGAAATTTTGTCTTTAAAAATAGCATCTGTCTTAGCATCTGTTTGTCCCCTTTACATTTTTTCAGAATGCTCAATAATCATCACATCAGCTGTGTGTGTAAAAGGATTTATTCTGTCAGTATCCATATATCACAACAATTACTTAGCAAGTTACAGTTGTACACTAATGCATTTTTCAGTTCAGGCCTCATAGCCTCCCCCAAGGGCCCAAGGAAGTCATTCCATCAATGACTCTGGTCTATGGTATATGGACTGGGAGTCTTTTTACAGCTGTTTCTCACAGCATAGCAAAGATCCCCGTTCCTTGGTTTTCATTGCTGTCCTTTTGTCAGGTACGTTCTGTCGATATCCCGGTGAGAGAAAAGTCTGACTCTGTGCCCTCTCTGCTCACTCAGTGGTCCTTCGACTCATCAGTAAATAGGCTGAACTACACAAAGGAAACGAAAAGAAGAAAAACATGGTAAACTCTTTGGATTAACCAAGAATGAGAGGCTGGATTAGAGGTATTGCTAACCTCATATAGGATTTAATTCAGTTTGTCTTCAGGTAATTCCCTTGTCACCAGAAAAGCAGCCACTTCCTCTGTGATTAGCTGAGGCAGGAGTCGATTTGTGCTCGAAGAACCTGTGAAGTAGAACACTCTATCAGTGTCCATTAGCCGAAAAGGATGACTGACACATGTTAATTCTGACCTTGTTATTTCATTATCGTTATTGACATGACAGCTACACCAGTATTGATTGCTTCCTTTCAGGTTCTAGCAGCTTGTCCAATTTTTGTGCAGCATACATAACATTGTTATTGATAGTGTCTGTGACACAGGCGGAATCACCCTTGTAAGACAAATAGGAAAGAGCAAGGTGCCTCCATAGGGGAAATGCATTCATTTAAGGGAAGAAGACAATAGAGAAAATATTTGGCAGGGACTTCAAATGCTCTACTGAGAGGGCACACAGAGAGAACTGCCCAATGTTTAAAAATACACACAGTATATTCAGCTAATAGGTGTTTTATTTCTTTATTTTCACTGCTTGTAGTGTCATAATGTTGTGCTGCTATTTATTTGTGGCATATACCTCATAAAGGAATTCTAATGTCTGACTTTGATTATTAATATGGGTGTCCTAAATTAGTGTCCTACATTTTTAGTTTTAGCCATATTTTTTAACAATATACGTTATATGCAAATGTTTGAACACCCTAAGACAAAATTACTGTTTATTAGTTATTACTAGTTTGTTGACCCGGTGATGGACTGGCAGCCTCTCCAGGGTGTCCCCCTACTGGCTGCTTAGGACTGCAATGAAAGAGCAGTGCAAAATTTATAAACATCAAAAACAAAGTAAGTTTCCTTTCTGGAAATGTGCTTTTTGTCCAGTTA